CCTCCTCTGCTGGCCAGGGTTTTTGGGAGTTGAAGTCCAAGAACATCTGGAGGCCCAAGGTTGGGGAACACTGCCCTACGACATAGGGGGTGTTCCCCCACATCTCCTTGCCCCCAAATTCTTTGAGGGAGTCTTGACCTGAGGCCCAAGGTTGGGGACCATTGCCCTACGACATAGGGAGTGTTCCCCCACACCTCCTTGCCCTCAAATTCTTTGAGGTAGTCTTGACCTGCTGTATACAGCCAATCTTCCCCAGAGCCCTGAGGAGACGTGTTGCTTCACTGTGTTTGCAGTCTTCCCCAGAGCCCTGAGGAGACCTGTTGCTTCATTGTGTTTGTTTTTTTGTCTGTTTGTTTGGTTAATTATCTGTTAGATTGTTAATGTTTTTCAGTTTAGATATGAATAAAATGGTTCTAAAAAAGAGAGAGATAAAGGAATCTAAGGAGAAGGAAAAAGATAAAGTTTATAATAAATCCTTCAGATTTGAGAGACTGGTGTGAAGCCTTAAAAGAGGAAGCGGTGGTTCAGCTCAATTCTTTATTGTACCTCCTGACATACATGAGTGGTGTAACACATTGCAGTGACTGGAATAATAAGAGTCTTGTGGCCCCTTAACGACTATTTGGCATAAACCTCCATGGATTTCGGCCTACATAGTCTGATTCAGGATTATTGCATGATGGTTACAACTAGGAGTCTGTGCACAGAACAGTGGAGATAAACATAATTTATTAGAAATAAATTTGCTGGCAAAAGTACATGGTATATAAATAAATATGTTTTCTGGAAAAAAAAACAAACGCCATGCAGATATATATATTCCTATTTTTAAGACACTACCTTTCCTTCCTTGTAGTAGAGGTAAACCTGTACTGATTTTTCTGGAAGCAAGCCCTATTGAAGGCAGTGAAGCTTTCTTCCAAGTAGACATGGATAAGGCTGCACTGTAAATTGGAAATTATAGTTACTGTATGAAGGCACTTATGTCATTTACTGCACTGGTTCTTAACCTTGGGTTACTCAGGAGTTTTGGACTGCAACTCCCAGAAGCCTTCACCACCAGCTGTCCTGACTGGGGTTTCTGGGAGTTGCAGTTCAAAAGCATCCGAGTAACAAAGGTTAAGAACCACTGATTTACTGTATGTCCTCATAAAGGCAATGAAGGAAAGGGATGCAATAGCAAGCACATGTTCAGGGCAGGGAGGATGGGCTATAGTGAAAGTTTTACTTTGCCTTTGCTTTTGTAATCACTCCCCATACCTTCTGAAATCTTTTATTTGTTTTCTTCTTTTGTTTGCTTCTCATCACTTAGATGAGTGTTTCATAGAATTTGAAACTAACTATAATAGAACCATAGTCATTGCCCATGGTGAACACAGACTTACTTTTTCTTTCTTGCCATCAAATAGTATTTTTGTCCAGTGTGTGTTAACAGGATTTCATGATTCTTCAAAAACCTGCAAATCCTGCTTGACCATGGATGGTGGCAAGACAAAGGGAATGACTGTGTATATACGTCAGGTGATTTGATAGCACCATTATCCCATTTTCAAGTTTTAATCTATTTCAGAAAAATTGTCTTCATTTTTCTTGTTCTCACTCCTTAAGCCTGAATTTTCACATTTTTCCTTTGCTTTCTCCAACTCAGTTCCTTTTTCATGACTCTTGTTTGTCTCATCATCCTCTCTTCAGTCAATATCTTCTTCAAACGTCCCTCATTTGGGATGTTTGCCCAGATAGGCAGGGTACAAATAGAATAAATTAAAAAAATAATAAAATAAACTTGCTTTCTCCAACTCAGTTCCTTTTTCATGACTCTTGTTTGTCTCATCATCCTCTCTTCAGTCAATATCTTCTTCAAACGTCCCTCATTTGGGACGTTTGCCCAGATAGGCAGGGTACAAATAGAATAAATTAAAAAAAAAATAAATTTGTGGTAACTCATTCTTTTCCCTGGACAGGAGACAAAGCCAATACTAATGCCAAGACAAGGACCGTAAAGACAGTGAAGAAGGAGCCAACCTCTGTGTTCCAAGTAGATGGGGACAAGAAAGACAAAACAGTAAAAAAGAAAGGTAAATGTCTTCAAGCATTGTTTCTGCAGCGTATCCTTCATAGCTGAGGCCAGAATTAACATTGGTTGTTTTTTTTTTCTCTAATAGAGGAGACACTGATTTACGTAACGCAGGTATCACGGGGCGTAGCGCTGGGCCCATAACCTTCTGTCAGCTTTCTGAGCGGAAATCACGGTTTAGCAGAGTATTTGGCGGTTCAGGCAGTCCAGGAATAACTCACATGCAGTCCAGCAGCATTTCTTTCAGCAAAGTGTATTTACATCAATATATATAGCAATCTGGCAGCATAACTGGTAGATGTGATCTTCAAGCAGGTGAAGATACAACTAACTGTACAGTTCTACATATATACATACACAGGACCAATCAGGTTACACATTACCTCATCACATTACCTCATCCCATTACTTCATCTCTGGGTTGCATTAGTCCTGGGTTACATCATCTCTGCTGAGTCATCCTGACTCAGTTTCAGCACACCTGATTGTTATGGCTTCTCATTAAACCACTTCATTCTGTTCAGGCCTGCAATTTACCTTGACAGATTTATCTGTTTAAAAATAGTGTTGTCCTCTAATACTTTGGACTGCTACAGGCTGACTACTTGAACATTTGTGTTGTTGGGGGGTTGACACTGGATGTGTTTGTGTGCATAATTTGAAGTGAGGAACTGGAGGGGGAAAGGGAGAGTTTGGGAATGTTGTCTTTTGGACAACAGCTTCTAGAGTTCCATGGGCACGGGCCCATGATGGCTTGAGGGATTCTAGGACTGTCGTCCAAAAATGTTACTGGCCAAAATTCTATTGCATTTTTATGGCAACGTAACACAATTGGTGTAGTGTTAGCCTTCAAATCGACACAAGTTAAGAATTCAGTGTATATGCATTTGCAGTTGTGGGCTGAATTATGGGACCCAGCACGCAACAGCAAAGGCCTAGACTGACTTCATGACCTGCAGTTGGTATCTGGGATTTACACCAACATCATTAGGCTGGAAGGCATAACTAATACATTTTTGGTCACTTTATTTTTATGGTGGGGAAGGTGTTAGGGAAAAACTGCCCCTGCCCACACCTACTACTAGCTCTAGCTCACTCTCCAGCAGGCAACCTTTGTCACACAACCTTCAGTCCACTGAGACACTTGGGAAAAATAATAGACCACCCTTGCCTTAGAGAGTCTCCAGCAGGCTTAGAGGGAGATTTGGTGATACCCCAACAGGGTATTGTTAGGTGTCCCAGTGAATATGACCTGACTTATTCTTTCTGTTTGAATTTCTGCTTAACTGTAGATGTAAAAAACAGTGAGGTAGAAGAGGATTCTGATTCAAGCACCAGACCAATGAAAACTGAGAAAAAGAAGAGCACTGCTTCCATGTTTCAGGCTGGGGGAGAAAGTGCCAAAGAGAAGAAGGTAAAAAAGAAAGGTAGGTTCATAGATCATGCACCAAGCCTTTGCTACAGGTGGGAAGTGCTATGTGCTAAAACACTTGAGGGATTTCCTCACTTTCCCTATCTTGCAAGTAAGCTTGGGTTGCTTCTGTAGGGTAGCCTCCCAGGTTTTACAAATAAGAGTTGTAATTTTTATATGAAGAAGGACTGAGCGAAGGACTATCTGAGGAGGAAAGTATCTGCTACTCTCTGCATGATTTGGTAATCTTGAAAAACAACAAGGATCCTAATTCCACAGAGAGATCCTATATGTAGCAGACTGTGATCTTCAGAGTTGTTTGCAAAATTAAAGGGGAGAAACTGGGCAGAACTAGAACTCTCGTTGTTTGCAAAATTAAAGGGGAGAAACTGACCTCCTTCAGGTGGAGAAAATGGGCAGAACTAGAACTTTCTCCTTGCTGACACTTTCAAATCAATCCTTTTTAAAACATCTGGACACAGAGCTTAAATTTTCAGTCTTCTAAAAAAACAACTCTGGATCATAACTATTTTTCACTATGCAATTCAGTGGAACAAGCAGTCCTGCATTCATAGGTTCTACAATGCATGTGTGGTGAGGAGACTTTCTTTGGTCGTAACATGAAATTATTCTCTTTGTTGTTATAAAATAAGGAGACACATGATAGCAAAGTCAAAGTAATTTCTGTAGCAAACCTGAAGTGCAAATACCAAGCCTCCACAACATTTTCTTCCATATTCCTGAAGCTATTTAATTAACATTTTTATTAAATCATTTCAACTGCTTTTTATTTTATCATTTCAACTGCTTAAATACCATATTTTTCCATTTATAAGACACCCCCATTTATAAGATGCCCCTCCACTTTTCTAACCCCAAAATTAAGAAAACTTAGCTTTGAGTATTCAGCCTCTGGGCTCAGAACACTCAGACATTAGGAGTCCCTATTGCATCTGAACCTACAAGCTCCACCTCCAACAAGGTGTGTTCCAATTAGTTTGTTCAACATCAGCTGACATCAGTTCCATAAGGCTCATGATTTGTGGCAGCTAAGCCTCGTGATTGAAGAAAGCCTGTTTACAGAGGCAAGGTATGGCCATTTTGTTCTCTCCGTGTTCTCAATTTACTTCCGTGTAAAAGATACTCCATAATTTTTAGTGTAATGACTTTAGAAAAAAATATCATCTTATTCATGGAAAAATATGGTATTTATTATATGCTTTGAAATGTGATATAATCTGCACTGTGAACATTGGATCCCCAAAAGTAGACTATAAATGAGTAAAGCAAAGTATAAATGAGGGCAGCCATTCAGTTCAATGGAAGAAATATTTGTATTAAGATTCCAGGTTTTCCATCTGTGCTTAAGAAGCAAAAGGTACACAGTCACCAGAAGCGATGAGGACTGCACCTTTTAACATCAGAAATGCCAATCTAGGTGCTCCTGTCAACCGCATAGTCACTGGGTTCTTACTGAGCTCTTCTGTCTGCAGCTCCCCACAAAGCCACTGAACATGAGAGCGAGGATGACGAAGCAACTCAGAAGAACACCAACAAGAAAGGAAAGGCCAAGAAGTCCAAGAAGGTAACTGGCTGGGAATGATCTCAGGGCAAGGCGGATTTCTAGCAGCCCTTTGAACTGTAATGTTGGCAGAAGGCTGAGAAAATTAAGGCCAATTTCACAAACCCTGTTCTGAATGAAGTGACTACAGTCAGAAAGGGGGCTGCAGGATAAAAGTGGTGGCATATACTAGTATGCATTAAAAATAGGAAGCGGAAAAGAAATGGGATCGTTGCCTGTTCATATTGCCTGCCAAATTAATATTTCTCACTCTTCTTTAGATAGGACCAGCTTCCTCCACAAACAATTACATTAAAACCAAGCCAGCAGACTTCTAGTGAGATGAAGGATGATCCTTTTCTGAGATGGGAAGACTTCCTCTTTTGGAATACAATTTTCTCAATGTCACAGCTAGCTCGTGGACAGACTGGCTGGCATATTCTGGAGTATTCCCCATCTCTAACCATGTTTGACTTAAGGATTCTCTTCAGTGTTATTTGTTGGCAGAGATGAGATGAGAAGCTTTTCTTGACTACAACTCTAGTGGCTGTGCTGGCTGTGGGATTCTGGGAACTGTAGTCCCCCCAAAAAGGAACCTTCCCCCATCTCTGGGCATATAATCCATAAGTAAATAAATCTGGCCTTTCTCTACATCCTTACCTAATGTGCAACAGCTTGTTGCTAATCAAAGAAGCCCATGGTGAACTACTTAATGGGGAGGACGTGATCTTAGAGTGTGCCCATCTCAGATCACATGAAAGTCAGCTATACCTCCTGCCCATTTTAAATATTTCTTTACTCCTGAAATAATAAACATAGCATTTTATTTTCCTGTTCTCAGGACTCTGGTGCACAACAGCTTCCAGGGGCCACTCTGTGCATTTTTAGGGGATCAGAATTTGATACTACAACTACTTGTCCACTGTGTGAACATCTTGTTTGCAGACTTCCTGTAGGCAGCTGAGTGGGTATGGGAAGCCTGTAACAGAATCATGGACTGGATAAGCCTTTACTTTGATCCAACATGGTTTTTCTAATGGTGTGGCTGAGGAGTTTAGGAAGATGTAGGCTAGAAAATAACTTTTCCAAGCTCTAGGTAGAACAAGCCAACCAGCAACCAAGACTAAAGATCCAGGAGTACAAGAAGCAAGAGAAACAGAAACATTGTTGACTTGTAAAATGGTACAATCTTGTCTTATGTGGTTGTACCCAAATGCCATGTGGGGTGTGTTTCTGAAACAAGCCCCCCTCCCCTTTCTTGGTGTTGGACTCTAGAAGGAAGAGAGACCACCTTCCCCTGTCATAGAAGTGGACAATCTGGAGGAATTTGTGATGCAGCCTGCTCCACAAGGAGTGACCATCAAGTGTCGGGTCACTCGAGACAAAAAGGGAATGGATCGGGGACTTTATCCTACCTACTATCTTCACCTTGATAATGACAAAAAGGTGAGTGTCTAAATGGTGTCTTTCCTCTTTCTTTTTGTGAGGAAATTAAAAGCAGCCCTGCAGTGGAATCACTTAGGGCACAATTCATCCCTATCTATTTTAGACGAGTAAGGGATTTACTGGGATTCACAGCAACACTGTCTTGGATTCATACGTGCATGCACATATGCGCGCGCACACAATTCAAAGTAATCTCCTGCTGTTATGCTCACTTTGCCTTAGAGAGCAAGCAGGCACAACATTTCAAGTTTAACCTCTGGCCATTCCATGGCATGGCAGCAGCAGTGAAGTCAGGGAGCAGCTTCTTGACTGTTACGCTGGCCAATATCCTCTCCTTTTATTGTGGTAGATATGTGCCATTACATCACTTCTAATGTACAGCAACCATATGAATTAGTGACCTCAAGAAGGTCCTGTCATAGAATCATAGAATAATGGAGTTGGAAGGGACCTAAAAAGGCCATCAAGTCTGAACCCCTGCTCAGTGCAGAAATCCAAGTATATCTGACAGACAGACGGGTATCTAGCTTTCTCTTGAATGCCTCCAGCGTTGGAACACTCAGCATCTCCCAAGATACTGAATGCCTCCAGCGTTGGAACACTCAGCACCTCCCAAGATACAGGTAATTGATTCCATTGTCATACTGATCTTTTACCTGATAGACAATCATTAACATCCCCACTCAGATCTTGTAAATTAAAAGCACCAGCTTCCTTTATCAAAGCAATCCATATCATGTTTAGTCTTTCTCCCATTTTTCCTGTCACATTATTGTCTTTTCCAGTGAGCCTTATCTTCCTGTGATGTGCCCAGAGTATGATACCCTCAATTTCATCCTTTTAGTTTCTATTGGGAATTCAGGCTGGTTTTGATCTAGAACTTATTTGCTTGTCTTTTTGGCAGTCCCTAGTATCAAAAACCTAGAGGAGAAAAGTAATCCCCTTTCCAGAATAATCTAGTAGTGGGAAAAGAAAATATGCATTGTCTGTAACCATCACCTATGCCTTCCTGACCTCCCAGCACCTACTGATGCACATCATTGCAAAGGCTGTGTGGCCTGGGAGAGAGCAGAACAGCTGAAAAGTTACATTTTTGAACTACAATTGCCACGCTGACTTAGTACATTCTGGGAACTGTAATCTGGAAAAGTAAAAGTAAATACCCATGGAAATGTCCTTGCTGTCATTAAGACTTTCACAGATTTTTGCTAAATCATAAAACACACACAACAGAATACATTCCCATTGTGAAAGAAAGCCAGTAATTAACACAATTCTTTGTATAAGAAATAAAACTAACATGTTAAAGGGCAATTTGTTGTTGATGCTGAACAGGAGATAATGAGAAATAGAAGTTGAAAGAATTAAGTTGCTAATTAAAGGGGCAGTGGGGCCTCTGCTGAATAAGAGTTATTTCTAAATTAACATATTTGCACACCTGGTACTGTATCTGTAACAATGAAGATTAGTTTTATAGTGTAAATAAGCAAGCATTCTGGAAGGATCATATCTATTAGAGTTGTCTTTGCCAGATAATGTGATGCCTTGTTACATATGTTGTGGAGCCATTTTACCTCCAGCTAATTATGGGAAAATAATGTACCATCAGAACTAAAAAAGCATACATAGCAAAGAAGTAGTCCACAAATGTCCTCTTTGGTATATCCATCTTTTCCAACCCGGTGCCTTCCAGCTATGTTGCACCAGTTTCCATCATCCTCAGGCCACATATCTGGAAGAATCAGATGAGAGAAGGCTGTGCCGATAACTAGATGGCAATGTGTAGTATCTGTGAATGTATTCAGGCATTATACTAGGTATGGGCAAAGCTGGATTGCAAATCTCGGCAATTCTTCACTATTGGTTCTGCTGGCTAGAGCTAAAGGGAGAAATCCAGAAATGTCTGGAGGGCCACCCTTTGCCCACCCTGCATGATATGGTTGGAAACTGCAAGGATCTCCCTGAAACCTGAAGCCTTTCTCCTCGCCTCTCACAGGTGTTCCTCCTGGCTGGACGAAAACGCAAGAAGAGCACAACCTCTAATTACTTGGTCTCCATTGATCCCACTGATTTGTCTCGAGGTGGCGAGAACTTCATTGGAAAGCTAAGGTTAGGAGAAATGGGATCCATCTGCTTTAACTCTCAGTTTTGAACAATGATGGGTAGAGCTAATCAGGACAGCAGCAGCAGCTGGAATCGTAAACTGAATTGAGACATATTTGCCTTCCTCCTTTATGTTGTGGTATGGCTGGTCCACCTGGTCCTTGAAAGGACTTTCAGCTGAATGGAATCAGAATCCATTGGGGTTGCCTTATACTGAGGGCATGATCACGTGGATGTTTGTCCTGGGTTGATACAAACTTCTCTACACCACAGCCTGACGTTTAAATCAGTGTTGCCTTTCATGCAGAAATGCTTAATTATCTGAGGAAGGTGCATTTCAAGTGACCACATGTCACATCTCCCCCCACCCCATTCCACTCACTTGTCCCTACTATTATCACCACACTCTTACTAGCATTCAAATCACTTTTTTGCCTCAAACATTTAACCAGTGAAATAGCACTGAACTGACATAGTAAACTTTTGAAATAGTGCTGTATCAGTTTAGTGCCACACTAGAAGAAAAATGTTTTTAAAAACCCACTTTACAAATGGCATTGCAGTTGTAGTCCTTACCAGCATAAGCAGCCAGCAGGCAAAAGGGGTAAAATGCACTCCTACACCAAGCTTTACTCTGTTCATCATCTGTGGTGTTCTCCGGACATGCCCAGCAATGCCCAGCTTAAGGAACCACATAAGCAAAAAGCAAAGCAAAGTAATGCAGTTGGAAACACTATGAAAACAAATAGCAAGCCCTGTTGGCAAAGAAAATATACCTCATACTTATGCCAAAAGGTCGCCTCTATTCACAGTTAGTGCTAATGTTGCATCGTCAACGGAATAAATATCAAAAGGAACAGTGGGGAACACAGCAGAAACAGTGACATGAACACCATCTGGTTCCCTCCTTAGTCAGTTGAGCTGACTTAGTTCAGCTCAGAAACATTGGCCTTTCAGACCCTTTGAACTACAGATCCCACACCCCCTTGCCTTTGGCCATCCTACCTGTGTCTTGTGGAAGGTTAAGTGCAGAACATCTGGAAGGTGAAATTTTACTGACTACTTATCTACCCTCGGATATAGACTACACCAGTGATGAGGAGGATTCTCTAGCCCATGAGCTGGGTGTGGTTTTCAGAGACTTTCAATCTGGCCAACAGATCCTGTTATCCTGTTATATGCTGACTTGGCAGGGAGGGACTTCTTGACCTGAGCAGCCCTTGGTCCCAGCAAGGGTGGGGCACCTCCCCATGAAATTTGGAGGATGGGAAGCATCCCTCCTGGTTTGAGCAGAGGCTATTCCCATTTTTTTGTCCTTCCTGCCCAAAATGGAGGGATGGGCTTTAATTTTCTAGCACCTTATGGCACTTTATGCATTCCTGACCTAAATTGTAGAAAATAAGCCACTGAAACAAACAGATCCATTTTTGAGCAATGCACAATACAGGCAGCCTGGACTGAAAGCACGGCAAGATACAATAAATCTAAGCCCATTTACACCCCACACCCACCCACGAATCCTGATCGTGGTCACATGCACGGGGCTCATGGCCAGAGTAGTAGGTGCACTCATTGAAATGTTGGGATGGGTTGCCCTGTCTGATGAGCCACCTTTATGATTACATAAACATATGCATGCATACACCCAGCTTACAATATATAATGGCACTACAGTGCAGTAGTGCCATTATATATTGCAGTAATTCTCCAAGGTTTCAGTAATTCCAGATCTACTTGGAAAAGCCAAGGATTAAACCTTCAACCTTCTGCATGGAAGTCATGTGCTTTCACACAATAGACCATCAAGCCCCTCCTTAATATACAGCCCTTCTGTTTCCTGGTGTAGCAGTTGGTCTGGGTTTGGATTCCAGGGACTTCCATCCAAAGTGAGAATCATGCCCCCCTCCCCAGACTGACAAACCAGACAGGTCCTGTTATCAGATCTGGTACTGAGATTATCCCTGGGGCCCAGAGGAAAGAAGTGGCTTAGCTGGTTTTAGCCAAGGGAGAGGAGAAGCATGCTACAATTTCACAGGCCTGGGCATTTGGAAATACCACAGATGTCCTGACTGGTGACCTTTCCAGCCTCATCCTATTCCACCCTATTTGCACATATTCCCTCCTCCCACTCATATGCACCCTACACGTACTTGCTATAGTTCACTAAAGTATAGTATAAAAAAGCCGTTTCAAGGGATGGTGAGTCTTAAGATAGAAGGGTTGTCATTGTGCCAAGCTCTCAGACCTCTCAGACCACATGTCTAATCTCCTACTTCCATTTTAGATCCAATTTGATGGGCACTAAATTTTCCGTGTTTGACAATGGCGTGAATCCCGAAAGAGCAAATGCAGATTGGTCAAATGTACGCCAGGAGCTGGCAGCGGTCATTTATGTAAGTAACTAGTATGCATCCCTTTGACCACTGCCTTCTTAGAACATGGCAGGTTTTCGCGCTTGTGGGTCTCTGTCCCAAGGGAATTGGGGGGACTTTCCATCTACTGTAGAAAACTGTCCTTCAATGGCTCCAAGTCAGAAGGCTTTTCCACAGGGTTAGTAGAAATGGGTTGCAGAAGCTGGAGACAATCCAAGTTTTGGTGGAATGATGCTTGCCACTGTTCTCAAAAGATGTTGCAACCAATAGAATATTATCTTAATTTATATCAAGGCATGTAGTACATCCTGGTCAAGCATTTAAACTTCTGTAACCATTCCACCATAGTTTTGTCCAATCAAGTGTAGCTTTTTGCCTATTTATTTTTCCTCCCTTATCCTTTGAGGCAAAAAAATTTATTTATAGCAACAGACAGATACAGCAAAGCTATACAAACCCCCCACTTCATCCTCTTTTCAAAGACTGAGTTGCTACAGTTGCTCTCACAAGACTGCCTGCTAGTTGTCAGGAAGAAAGATCATGTGAGCTATTTCCATTCCAGATGTTAGCTAGCACCTCACATTGCTGAAAGTAAAAGAAAGCTTTATGGAAAATCTGGAGTGGAGTTTAGTGAGAAAGATCTGCAAGCTTAGCTCTGATCCTGTGTCCTGAGCTTGAGTTGAGCATGTGCTCAGAGGCGCCCTTTTCTTTAATTCCAACTATATGTTCCCTCCAGAATTTCTGTTTTCTATTTCACTCTCACTGAAGGGCCTTTGGACTTTAATTGAAAATCCCAATAGATCTCCAGAATCTGACGTTTGCTTCTTCCTGGCAAAACAGGCTTGCTAGGGTAAGAACACAAGCTCACTTTTAAGGCAGAGTGGGACATCTCACTCTCCAAATGTTGTTGGAAGCAACTCCCATTGCCCTAAGCTATCCAAATAATGATGGGTCCTGCTAGTAGCTGAGCACCAGCAACATCTAGAGGCCATGTGTTTCCATTCTTCCCTTAAGCAGCAGCATGTCAACCTCCTCTAAAGTTATCACAGCAATATATTCTATGTTTAATATGTTGGGATAATAAAAATGTGTTGTCCTGTAGTACCTGAGCAACAGCTATGGCACTAGCTTGGGAATGGCTGATTAGTTGCTCAAAGCTGTTCAGAAGTAAATGAATGAACAGATGACATGGTGTACATACATGGTGGTTTTCAGACTTTGGGTTTTTCTGTTTTAGGAAACAAACGTATTGGGGTTCAAAGGGCCTCGAAAAATGACAGTGGTTATTCCAGGAATGAATTCTGACAATGAGAGGGTACCAATCCGTCCTCGAAATGTAAGTTGCTAACAGTACTTCCCCCAGGGCACAGTTGGTTCAGAAAAGTCTCAGATTGTGTGTGCAGTTCCCTACTGCAATGCAGAATATGCTTAGTTCCACACCATATGTTGGTGATGCTGTGTGTGATTAGAACTGTCACAGTGTGGAAGACCCCACACATTTTTAGAGACCACATAATCATTGGTCTACTCTTCTGTCAGCAGGAAGAGCTATTGACAGAGACTATGGAGAAGGCCATTAAGATGGAGGTGTTTCTAAGGCCCTGTCTCTATATTGTCTCTCTCACTCTTATGTCATCGGCAGTGGGATGATAGATCCCATCTTTCTGTGAGGTTTCGACCTTTGGCTCCAAATTCAATTCCAAGAAATCAATAGATCTTTGTTGTTTCAAAACAGGTATGGGGTTTATTGGTGCTTTAAACAATGAACATGATTACGAGTCCTTTCTCCTTCTGCCAATGGGTCCGGAAGCGGCTTCCATTCGTTAAACAGGAACGGGTTTCTATAACTGTTGTCCCATGGTCCCGGGAGATCAGCGGAGACCCAGTTCTTTACGGTCTGCCTCATCGTGTATTCCAGCAGAGGCATGGTCTCCTCATCCAGGTCATCATCCCATGGGATCCATCCACCGGAGTCTCAGTTCGCCCAGGGTCCTCCCTGTAATTCCTTCTCTTCATCTCCCTTACTCTCCATTCCAGTCTTTCTCTCCTTCCTCTCTCTACTCTTTCCTTTTCCTCTCTCCATCTCCTTCTCCACTCCCTTGCCTCTGCTTCTCCCCAATAAGAGGGTTTAGGGGGAATCTCCGCTCTTCTATAATCTGCCTCTTCTTTTAGCACTCTTAATCTCTCCCATAATCCAGTCCAAGGATCCTGCATCCACACCCATTCCCAACGGAGTGGTAACTGGTCTTTTCTCCTCTCTACCTCCCCCGTCCCTGCTTCAAACTCCACCTTCCTTTTTTTCTCTCTTCCCACCTTTTCTTCCTGAACCTCCCCTATCATCCCTTTCTGTATGTCTTCTGTCAGCTCCTCTATCACTGTCTCCTGCTGAGGTTCCAGTGTAGGTTCTGGTGCGGGTTTGGGGTCCACTTCCTTAGTTTTGTTGTTGAGGAGGGACGGCTCTTCAGTGAGTGGGGTATCCCTCTCGCCCTCTGTCTCACACCTTCCCACACTAGCAGATCATTGTCTGTGCTGGCTGTTGGTGATGGGAACTGTAGTTCAAAACTGCTGGAGGATACCATCATAGAGAAGTCTGCTCCGTAAGGACCTCAGCCACATGTTATATACATGGGAGAGCAGTTCCTTTGGCCACGTGAAACTGAGTAGGCAACAGAGCACAATGCAAAGCAATGGCTAGGGTGCCGTGTCTGGACCCAAAGAGATAGCTTCCAATCTTTGATCATCTTTTTGATGAACAAACCTCTCGGGTTTTTTTTTTAAATAAAGTGAGAGTCGTATCCTAAAAACCTGGAAAAAAAGATCTGATACAAAAGTACAATACTGTAAATGTAATTTAATTGTAATTTCCAAAAGAATTTGGAAGGAACCGAGGTGGGCTTTGGGGATGTAGACAAAAGATAACAAGCTCTGACACATAATGACTCCTGGGTGTTGTCTTTTGCTGGTTTCCAAGTTCCTTTCACAGAGTCCAAATGAATGTGTATGTGTGGTGTGTGTGCGTGCGTGTGTGTGTGTTACTTAGTGGAACTCAGAAAAGCATCTTGATGTGCCTTTGAATGTAATACTTCTACTGCTTTTCTCACATCTTCCCAGGATAATGATGGGCTGCTCATGAGGTGGCAGAATAGGATAATGGACAACTTAATTGAACTGCATAACAAAGCCCCTGTGTGGAATGATGAGACCCAATCCTACGTACTGAACTTCCACGGCAGAGTGACTCATGCTTCTGTCAAGAACTTCCAGATTGTGCACAGCAATGACCGTAAGTCCCATGGAGCTTGTAGCCTGTGAGAGTAAAGACTTGTGTGTTGCTGCCACTGAGGAGATCAAGCAAGGATGGCTGAATATTTAGTACTGCTCTATGCAATAGACACTTGCAGAGGCCAAAGAGAGAGTATTGTACTTTTCATTGAAAGAAAAAATCAGTAAGGAAAATGGGATTTGTCCACTGATCCTGCCTGATGGGTGCCTCTTGAATGTGTTGCCCGTGCAGGCAACACTAGTCTGCCTGTGTGACTAAACTGGCCTAGAAGAATCAAATATATTTCAGCACACCTTCCAACCACCAGGCGACTCTTGCCAGAGACTAGATGAATTATAGGTTTTAGCATTGCAGGCTCCATTTTTGTTCTTTACTTTGGATGCAAATCTGCCTAATGACTACATTGTCTCTCAAACCAATCTTCTATCCAGCCATACACCTAAGAGAAATCCTGGCAGGACCTATATGACTCAGATTGCATGATTGGTTTGCTGTTTTGAGCAATGGCTTGCACTAGAAGAAACATCACCTAGGTTTGTGATAACAAATAGGAGTCCAATATAATGGGCAGGTGGAATGTGTGGAAGCTCCCAGTATTAGCCATGGAATCTGTGAAAATGGGATTGTTGGGATCGCTTGAGATTTGTTTGATTAACTTTATTTTTGAATCTCTTGACCAGGGAATTCTTAAGAGTTTTCAGCCAAAAATTAATTTCTTAATGTTCTGGAATTTTTGCAATCAGCTCTGAACAGTTAACCCCCTTGTAGGATGCCAGGCATGCATCAATGATCCACTAGAGGGAGCATAACAATAGGAAGATTGAAATGATTTGTTGGACATCCTTCATCACCAAAAAGGCAAATTAAGTTTTATGTTGTTTGAATCTTAAGATTGAAATCTCTCCTGGGTATGTTGCACAATGCTTCACCCCTAGAAATGCTGAAGAATGAATAATATTCTTCTAATAACTCAATACAGTAATCCAGTTTCAGAATGGCCTGTGTCTAAAATAGCCAGTAACGAGTACTGCTTGTCAACTTAACTTCCCATTCAATTTGTGCTCCAACCCAAGAAAAGAACCCTGAATTTCTCATTGGGCAAGAAACTGTCAGGTTGCAAAGTGCTAGAAGCATGCACACATAGCATAGATGTTTATACAGTTAAGATACAGAACGTTTTAGCATAAAATTGTCGTCCTGAATTAGTGCAACACTTGATTACATAAACAAGGAATTCCAGGATGTTCACATCTATTTATACCATTGCAGAGTGACTTGGGTCACTCACACAGCTCACATGTTTCCTTATGGAATGATGAGCACCTTCTCAAAATAGCAATCCAAAGATTGTTTATATCAGTGGACCCTGACCTTACCTGATACCCTCCATATGTATTGGACTAAATGCTGGTGGGGATGATGGGGGTTGGTCTCAGGAAGTAAAAAAAAATATGAAATTTTGGTTTGTATGATTACTGATTCCAGGGCAA